TGCCCTACCGAGCCTTTCCACATACTGTCTCTCTCTCCAAGGCCAGAGAAAGTGTCCTTAGATGAGAGGTATGTTAGCACATCGTGCAATTCTCGGCAGGGTCGAGGCTTCGTAGGAATTGACCTGACTGACGCCTCGGAGGGTTCTGTTCTGCGCCAGAACAAATATTTTTAAAGGTCATAAAAATATAAGAATTGCTATCAAGTTTCATCCGTATCAGAGTGTCTCATTTTAATCTTATAAGATAAATATCTCGAAAAATGTAAAATAAATGAAAAAATGTTTTGAATGAAAGATATTGAGGAAGACAGATCATTCAAATGACCTTGCATGATAACATTGAAAAAAAATTTACAAATATTGAATTTTTAAATTGGAATTTATATTTTTTATTACATATTATTACAACTGATTTTGAGACGTTTTCAAAATATCTATTTTTTATTAGTAAGTTATTTTCCAAGATAAATTCTTAAAGTTGATGTGCTATCACCATTAACTGACAGTGAAGCAGACTAGGGAAAGTCATTGGCATGTGATACGTACAATCTTTTCTCCATTGTTTGTAAATATTTGTTTCATTTCAATTTACTTCATTTAGTCGTACAAATTGTGAAAACCAAGCAAATGTAGGTGTCTATAAAAGAGACACATTTTTACGCACAACAGTATACAGACAAAAAATATCCATCGAAGCAAACAGTCGAGAATTGATACTGTAATATACACAATCGATACTGTAATATACACAATCGGGCTTTCTCAGATATACGAACTCCTACAATGTACAAAAACCGACCGTGCAATCTCATGACATTATATAGAGTAGGTACCTAATACTAATTTCAGCTTACACAAATTAAATTTGAGTTTATATCTCTGGAATGGCTTATGTAAAAAATACATATGGTAGTGTTTTGAAAATGTTTCGATATCATCTATAATAATATACAATAATTATACAGTTTAATATAAGAAGTTATAATAATATGTGTTAAATACGTTTCAACTTAATATTTGTTCTAGGACATTAAAATGGAATACATTGTATAATGATAATATTTGTGCGTTTTTAAAATTTTTAAATAAGTTTCTTCCCCAAAATAGTTTCAAAATTTTTATCTCTTACATTCATTTTATTCACTTGGATATTTATTATATTTGAATGGAAACAAATTATAAACAATTTTACATGAAAACTTCATTAATTTAGCATTTAGATGATCTCGATAATTTTTCATGAATCGAAAATACATTTTTTATATATTTTATGTAATAAAGTTATGGGTGTCCTCTTTTTTTTAAATTCATTACTTCCAAATATTTTTTACATATTTATAAAATGAAAGGAAATTTAATAGTTCTAGTATTTTATTCTTTGCATTTATAGTAAATCCAAAACAAAATCTTAAAAGAAGCAGTTAAATTTTACAAGAATTGTAAGCCAAAATTTTGTTCTTTGGTTACAAAAAGATTTAAAATCTAAACTTTTAGATTTAAAATTTAAATACTTTATTATTTTGATATCTTTATTTTTCAGATTTGCTTAAACATGCATTTCATTTTCTTCATTAATCATTGTAACCTAATTCGACTTTAACAACTTTGTTAGAGAACTTCAAGTAGCAACAAACTGTGCTATAAATTTATGCATTAAAGTTTTCGCTATTTAATTAAACTCGCCTTTATGGTACACGTGGTATATTTTATAGATTGGAATCACAAGGTTCAAAAAATAGATTACCTTACTCTTAATACACTTGTTTTTGTTTTGTTTAGCAATGTACATAATTTATCAGCGTAATCATTATAACTGATCTGAACAATCACAGTCTGAATAAAAACAGTTTGAATCATTTGATATTTTAAAGTAATGTGGTTTAGCATAGTTAAAACATACATATATTTTTTTACATTTATTCAGCATTGCTGTTCTTGACATCCGAAATATTAGATATATGATTTTGAGTAACAATTCCTTTCTTACTGTATTCTTGATATATGATATGAATAAGAATTTATTCTTTTAATTTAAAATAGTTTTGAAATATAAATTTTGGAATGAATAAAATAGAAATCTCTGTAAGATAGATTATCAAATGAATAAAATAGAAATTCTCAAATTCAATAAACAGCAAGTAAATCGTGATATAAGATACGAGCAAAAACAAGTGTACGAGCAAAAATAAAATTTTATCACATGATGTTTCATTTTTGAGAAAATCAAATTTGGATATTTATTTAGTATACGTGCACAGTCATTCTAACTAATTGTACCAGAAAATTATTTTTTGAAATAAATAAAGAAACACAAATATTTGTCCCTCGACCCTATACACCACCATGCAATTAGGATAGCAGTGGGAGCATTCAGAACCAGCCCAATTATTGACATCCTGAGCGAAGCAATGGAAGTTCCTCTAAAAATCAGAAGAATGCATCTAAGCATCAAGTTCGCTGCTAAAATCTCTAGCACCCCTCAGAACTCTGTATTCTTAAACACCTTTCGACAGAACGCAACTACTACCACACATCCGATGAAGAAAACCGCACTCCCATTCTACAATAGAATTTCCAAATATGAACACGATCTCAACACCAAAGTCATCTTGGCAACCCCAAGAAATATACCTAGTTTCCCGCCGTGGACTGTCCCTATAATCACAACCGACACCGATTTACGCAAACACGACAAAAAACAAACCAACCCTAACACATTTAAATCCCTGTTCTGGAAGCTATCCCAGCGATACCAAAACCATACACATATCTATACAGATGGCTCAAAAACCCAAAACGGCACCGGCTACTCGATCGTCTTCGAACATTCAACCACAAAAGTCAAGCTCCACCAAGACACGTCCATCCTGACCGCCGAACTTACGCACTAAAATATGCCCTCGAAATCACATCTAAATACCACAATAGAAAATTCGCCATCTTCAGTGACTCCACAAATGCTATCGCCTCAATTCTAAACCAATGGACAAACAACACAACCATCCACGAATGCCAAAGCGCCTACATCGAATCATTAAAAAACAATAACTCAATTACAGTAATATGGGTCCTATCCCACACAGGAATTGAAATGAACGAGAGAGCGGACAAAGCTGCTAAGGAAGCAGCAAATTCGACACTGCCCTACCACAACACAAACCTACCACTCGATTCTCTACTTGTCCACCTAAAGAAAAAACTCAAATACCATTGGAATAACTAATGGAAAACTCTAGCAAAACCGCGACTACTAACCATCAAAAATGATTTTTACAAAAATGTAATACCACCCACTCTAAAAAGACGTGATCAAGTTATAATATCTAGAATAATAATCGGACATACAAAAATAACACACAAACACATACTCACTAATGATGACCAACCATTCTGCGAACGGTGCAAGACGATACTAACAATAAACCACCTCATATTACAATGTGAAATATATCTATCACAAAGAAAATAACTCTGAAGAGTCAAGCCCACCCTAAAAGATAATCTAATGGACAGTGGATCATCATCGAGTCTGATACAATATCTGAAGCTCATTAAGATCTATAATATATGAAATCCCTCCTTCTGATGTCGCTAATAACCTACGAAGTTGATGCAACATTAAATAACTGATTTAAAAAAAAAACAAATATTTGTATTCAAAGGCGTATCTGATTACATAGCTTTTGTAAATTTATTAGTAATTTTATTAAATTTGTGAGAACTTACTGCATATATATCTTGTTTCAAACTTATAAAAATTTTATTCCTTATCATTTAACACTTCGTTATTGTACATTATACGTTTTACATTTGCACATTTTATTATATATAAAATTTATATATAATAAAATATATATTAAATTTTTATTTAAAATTTTTAAAAAATATATATATATAAATTTTAAAAATATTAAGTTTGAAGAAAGATATCAACTCGTTAAAAGATATGAAATTGAATTAACATAATTAATATAAACAATAATTTGTATAATTAATATAAATAATTTCAGGCAGGTATCGAAGAAGCTCTGGATGTAATAGAGGCGGCATCGACCGGGTCACTGGGTGAAGACTGTGCCACAACAGCTGGTTTTAAATCTTTACCAACTGTCGTAGCACTTGATCCTCGACGTTACGATACTGCACGTCAAAAAGCTGACATGACAGCTCTGATGCTCCAAAATCTCGGCACTGTTGGAGTATCAAGACATAATGGTGAGTTACTGATAATTTATGATAAAAAAAAAGTATATAACAATGAAAATTCCAGTGACAACAATGATGAATAATAATTACAGTGGGCACAATAGTCTTATATTTTATCTATAAATTTATAATATATATTATACGTTATTAACTTTATGAAAAATACATCAAATATTGTCAGTTAAGAAAATAATAAATAGTAATCAACTACGAAAGAAAATACATTGCAAATATTAACAATTCGAAACCGATTCAATATTTTGTTTTAAAGAAAAAATTATCTCATAAAAATTTAATTTTGTTGAAAGAATATTATATACAATCTTCCATATATATATATATATATATATATATAATATTATATATAATAGAATATATATTATACACAATTTTCCAATGATAAAAATAGAAACTAATTTCCTGCATAATCAAAGTATTGTATTAATAAATTATATTTTTATAATAATTATAGTGCACACGAATTATTTTATGTATGGAGTGTCAAAAGTTATCATAGCCTCAGAAGATTTGTTTAAAAACAACAAGCTTGACCTTGAGCATAATTTTCAAGATCCAATTTTTTTATTGTATTTTTTTTGTTTACTTTTGTACTGTATTTTTTATTTTATCATTACAAAATGAATAGTCAAAATGATCATCAAAATGAATGAAAACTAATGAAACTTCAACATTTTTTCCAAGAGAACGGTAGGATTGCGATCCATGGTTCCTTTAAGATTTTTTCTCCTCATAATGAGTAAAAAATAATGCAATAAAAAAATTTTTACCTTAAAAATTATACTCAAGATTTTAAATTTTAAAATCCATTTTTTAAATAGATCTCCGTTCTAAAGGCATAGAATTATCTCTCAAAATCAGATTATTTGTCAATACTACATAAACACAATCATAATCTATTCTAAATATATATATCAAAAAATTTAAAGACAAATTTATTATAAATAACGATTTAAAAATCTTAATACTATTAACTTATTGCTGTTAATTTTCTAGAAATCATCGACGACCAATAATTTTAAAATTAACTAAATTATAAATAGAAATTATGAATAAAAAGACAACTTATTGTCATGAATAATATAAATTTCATTGCAACAGATTATTACAGATTTTAACTTTAATTTAAAATGTTGCATGATAGATTATTACACATTTTAACTACAAGTTAAAATGTTGCATGATAGATTGTTAGATTTTCTGTTCATTTTAATAAAATAAAAAACAAGCAATGTTTAATATAAATTAATAAAGAAAAAATTTTAAAACAATTATCTGTAAAAGGAAAAAATGATTTTTAAATGAAAAAATGAAATCTTTACTCAAAATCGAAATAACCTATATGTACTATTGAAATCAATCATGTTAGGAATAATCATATTATCATGTTTTGATAAAATTAGAAATTTATTATGTATTTGTTATAATTTTATTGTGTATTTTTCAAAGAAAACAAATCGAGAAAACAAATGGATAAATATTGTTCATAATTATATTACTTAATGTGTTAAACATACACTAAGAGAAGAAAGATAAATGTTAATAGAATCTAGCAAAAGAATTATTTATTTTTATATATCAAATGACACTCATCTTTGACCAAAAACTAGATGCTGTGATTTACAAATGACGAACTGGTGAATCGTGAGTTAAATATGGCCTTCTATTTATTTGACCCACGAAATCATAAGAAAATCATATTTTCTGCCATACTTATTTAATTTTTACGTTCTATAACTTTAAACAGGATAAAGTATTAAAACTATATAGTTTCGTTTATATCTTTTTGAGTCTGAATATTATACAATTATACGATAATGTTAAGAAAATTTGTTGAATAAACGAAAAAAAGCTTATATGACTCGCTACGAGTAAAAAAACATTGAATCATCAATTTATTTCCATCTTCAAATAAAATTAAATTCACAACAATAAATTAAATGAAGCTGAATCATCGGGCAAATATCATCAAATACAGTAATTGAATAAACATTTGAATTTCTTTCTTTTTATTATTTTAGTTTCTTTCTTACTATCATCTTAATTCTTTTTTTTCTATCACTTTAACTGGTCACATAAGCAGTAATGTCAGCAATACGGTTTTTTCATTTGATTTATTGAAATGAAATTTTAAATTTTAGTATCCGATTAAATAAACGGTCAATTGAATTCACTTGTAGTAATTGTAAAGAATATTCATATACTCAATGAAGACTATTATAGTAAAGAATTTTAAAAATTGTTATAAAAGGAAGACTTTAGTTTTCAAAACTGCTTAATTATGAAAAAATTTTATTAAGCTATTTCATATAAAGTATACTTTCATATAGATTCACAAAATTTTTGAGAGAAAAAATATCTTTATTTATCCTCGAAATAATGTAAAAATATTTTTGAAGAAAACAAACTCAGTATTGTAAAGCAGAAATTTGTATTTTAACATGAATCCAAGTAGACAGTTTTTTCTCATGAAGTTATAGCAATTTAAAGTTTTTGATCGATTAAATTTTATCGAACAAAAATGTTGTTGATAATTTAAGCTACTATAATTTCATGAAAAAAATTCCAAAATAATTCAGATTTATTTTAAAATATAAAATCTCTAAAATACCAAAATCGTCTAGTGATAATTTTTTAAAAAATTTTATAAAAAATAGATAAATGGTTCAAGATGGGCTACATACTATTTATACGACACTCGTTTGTCTTTTATACGGCAAATTCTAGAAATTCTTTTTAAATTCATCAATTTTCAATCATGTTATCTCAATATATTTTGACATAGAATGACGACATGTGCAAAAATAACGAAAGGTTTTTATTTAGAAAAAATAATGCAACTGTGAAATTCACATACAGCATAAGATATCGTTTATTGTAGCTGTATAAATCATTTTGCAGATAAATCTGCTTTCAAAATTTCTTTCGACATGAAATATTATATTTATAACACTAACTCTTTAACTCCATTTTTTCTGGAATGTCGTTTAAAAAATTATCAATTTTCAGTATTTCTGCTCTGTAATGTATTTATAAGGACGAAGAAACATTCTGAACAGTTTTTAATAATTTGTTGTTTACTAAGAAATTATTACATGTATAATTGTAACTTGATCATTACTAATTATACTGCTTTGCGAAATCGATATGTATAGTATATTACCTATTTGCAAACGTTAGGTCAAATTAATTTGGAATCTTTGTTTGGAATAGTTCAATTGACCCAAGATAATTTGGATTAAGGAGTGGAGGGATTAATGCTTAATACATTATACCTGAAATAAATGACATTACTTGTGTCATATATTTCAAATATTATGAAATAATATCTTAGAAACCAAGGAAAAATGAAACATAAAAATTCCTTTTTCTATAACTTATAAATAAATTAGGTGGAAAAAGAACACAGTGGTTTGGTACTTCAAACTATGAGACTGCTTTTACGTTGTTATCGAATTTTGAATCATTCCATATTCCACAGTAATCTACGAGAGAAACGTAAAATCGATTTGCCCAATAAACCGAGCAAGATGACGAGCTGCATTGTCAACAGTCCAATTTGTACGGAACCTGGTATATCAGCGCCTAATCGAATTCCATCGGCTGAAATGGTAACGAGAATATGCATGCCATCGAAATACATCGATTACTCCTGTATGGTTTTCTAACTCTGAAAGTGGATTTAAAACGAATCTCTATATCCTTTAATAATTGCAGTTATAAAAATACTCTTTTTAAAAATTACATGAATTTTACATTTTATGACCAATTAATTAATTAGTTAAATTACATAGATTCTGAGAAAACAATGATATTTTTTATATTTGTTCAATAGAAAACTTAAATAAAACGAAATAAAAATCATGATTTAGATTATTATAATTTATATATATGTACATATATACATTGTTTATTATATATTATATATATAAATTTATATACATAAATTATAATAATTAGTTATATATTATATATATAAATTTATAGATATAAATTGTGTATAAATTATTAAAATATATATATATATATATAAAGATTAGCTATTATCACTTCTCAAGTCATCAAATTATTTTGTTTTTAATTTTTAATTCTTGTATACTCATAATTAATAAGTGATATTCGTATACTTATAATTAATAATAATAAATGAATTCCTATTTTCTGAATTATCTCATTCATATAAACCAAATCGACTATTTTTCAATAATTCATAATCAAATATACAGGATAAATAGTAAGTCATAATACAAAATAAATGAAGTCAGATAGATTCTATGGTTCAAGTCGAAAATGAGGCCAATGAATAATTGAATTTTGTGGATTTGTCATGAATGTTTTATTTATCTTTCCTGACTCAACACATGAGACACATTACAGATAAATATCCAATTGTGGTAAATAAAGAGAAAAATCATACAATCTTATTGTTCATGTTAAAAACTTTTAAATTACATATGTAAGTACATCATATTTTACAGTTTTAATATTTATGTCATTACTAATATTTCAAGTACACAAAAATATTAAAAAATATAGGATATTGAGACATATTACTCGATGTAATATGCATATTTTATGGATGAAGGAATTTAGGTATTTGAAGATTGATTTTATTTCTTTTCCATAAATATTATATTGTTCAAAAATGAAATTTAAAGTGTAATTATATGCTTGCTTTTATCTTATTTGACAGTTATTGATCTGTTACTCTTCTAATAATTTATATTTACCTCTTCAAGGAAAATTTAAGTTAAGTAGAGTTAAAAAGTTTTCGAAAGATTTCAATATAAGATAATTTACTATTAATTTGTAAGTTTCTTTGAATTCTACTATTGAAAAAGCATTTGGCAGTTATTAATCTGTTACTCCTCTAATAATTTATATTTACCTCTTTGTTCAAGGAAAATTTAAGTTAAGTAGAGTTAAAAAGTTTTCGAAAGACTTCAATATAAGATAATTTACTAATTTGTAAGTTTCTTTGAATTCTATTATTGAAAAGAAGTAAGTTAGAATTAATATATAATTGCTCATGACAACATTAAAAGATTTGAACATTAGAAATTTTTTATAAATATATTGTATGCGTTATATAAAGCATTTTGAAATTTCTACTTAACTACCGTGATTACATTGGTCAAATTTGAAACAAATCAGAAAATATATCAATCAGAAAATATAAATTAAAAACATAACGAATCAATAATGATAAAAATTGTTGATAATTTAAATTGTTATAACTTTGTAAAAAAAGATCATATAATAATCCACTTGAGTTTGTTCTTTTTGAAGAGGATTTTACATAATAATGAAAATAAAAGTACTTTTGTCTTGAAAATTATAAAATTTCAAACGTTTCTAAAAACAATAAAAATTTTGTTCATAATTAGATCCATATCTTAAAAACGTTTCTTTATCTTATGTTAAAATCTGCTGTACGACTTTTTTTACATCGTTTTATTGAACTTTATATAATTTAAATGATAAAATGTTAGAATTTCTTGAATTTTTGTTATTTAATCCCAATATTTGAAGTTCAAATGCTGAAAAAAGTCGTTTTAGCAAGTTTTAAAGGCTTGTTGTAAAGAAGAGACTTCAATCATCGAAATTCTTCAAAAATTGAAATATGATAGTGGATTTAACCATAAAAAAATTTTTCTAAAAATATTTGAATTTTTATTATTTTCGAAAAAAAATACCCTCACTTTTCCATTTATTACAAGACGTAAAATTATCTTCGAAAAACACGCAGCACTGTCAAAATAAGGATTCTGTGCTTCAAAATGAGATCAAGTGTATTATTATATAATTTTCTTTTATAACGTTATGACAGTTTAAATTGTCGACAATATATATATATATATATATTGGTATCATTATTGATACAGTTACACTTTGTTGAAATTACATTACGTTACAGTAGAAATTATAAAATAAACATTATAAGAATATATTTCGTGTAGAAAATATAAATATATTTATTCAATAAATATTATTAAAATACAGTTAATTATTAATTATATTAGTTTAACTTATATTTATATATTTATCTGCTTATGTATAGTAATTTTTTACTAAACATCTGTTTATAACAAATATTTTGTAATTGCATTTATATTTATATTTTTTGATTGGTTTTGATTGATTTTGCCAGTATATTAATATAACATTAATCATTATATTAAGAAATTTCAAAATGTTACATGTTTATTGTAAGGATTCAAATACTTTTGTAAATCATTATATGTCTTTCTTTTCTTTCTTATAATTTGTTGTAATCTTAGTTTTAGATGTGTTAGCAAAATCATTGCTGATGTCAGTGAACGATGCTGTAGAAACAAGGGTGATCGCACTAAATGCGTCTACGGGTGCCGTGATTAGCGCAGTCTGGTTGGAAAGAAGCCCAGGAAGCGTTGGAGAACCATTCAAGGTCGACAGTCACGCACTCCAGCCAGGATCTACACCAGATCCAAATTTACCATGGTTTGAAAATGCGGGTGCCACTACAGAACTGAGGTTCGATTTAGAATTGACATTCGAATCCTCACGCACTCCAATAAAATTTAATGCATGGTTTGCATGTATCACTTACCTTGTCATTGCCTCCACATTTCAAATCATTTATCGAATCTTCGATTCCATTAAATTGAAACTGTTTGAAGAAACCTAGGTAATTTTTAATTGTTTAATCACTAAATGATTATTTCATTCGAACATTCTAGTACCTTATGCAATATAACTTCGATTTTCATGGAAAATCAAAATTTTGTTTTAATAAAATATTACCTACGTATATTCATAAAACTTTAAATTTATTATTAAAATTTATTATTTAATTTATTATTGTTTATTATAGCTGATGTCGATACCGAAGTTTAGTAGAATAAAAACAAGCAAAAAGGTCCTAATGAATATGGATTCAAAAACCATTTATTTCGAAGTTTTATTCTAGAACAGATTCTATTTCACTTGTATCTGAAACTAATTCAAAGAAATGTAATCTCAATCGTATTAACACTGCGTAAATCTTAGTCACAAAAATGTATTTTGTTTCCATATGTGCATATTGATTATTCCTCAGTTCGTTAATAATTAATTCTTCAGGTTCGTATTAAAATTCTAAGATTTATGAGATTATGAGAAATGATTAAATATTATGAAAGAATATGAAAAAATAGAAGTATATATAAAAATGAACAAAGGACCAAAATATACTATAAAAATAATATTTTACTAATAAAAACTTGTAACACTGAAATTAATGGTTTTTGCACCCATATTTATTAAAACTTCTTTGCTTGTTTCATGATGCTCCTGACGCTTGACTAATATTTATAAATATTTAGGAAATCTTCTTATATAAATATTTAGGAGAATTTCACGCAATATTTTCATATGTAAAATGTATGAAAAAGATTTTATTAAAAATCTTAGTACGAATAGTAAAGTAAAACTTCAAAATTAATGGTACGCATAACTTTCTTATTAAACAATGTGATAAATGAAAGAAAACATATGAAAATATCATATTATGAAATTGCTAAGATATTTGCATTCCTAAAATTCTAGTCTCTTTTGCTATAAAAACTAAAATTTTGCAACTTATCTACATTTTATAATATAATAAATTTAGTATGTTTTATTTCATAAACGATAATTAATATCTTTGAACTGTATCTTTTTCAGTGATAATAAGCAGTTCAGTAATGAGAAATACTTATTGTTTTAATTTGAAGGATTCTGTATTATCTGAATATTTAAACTTATTTATTCGATCTTTTGAATTTGTTTGAACTCTTATTCAGATTAGATTCGAAAATTAAATTTAAAAATTTTTCTATTTTTAGATTACGAGTGTTGTCTAACCCTTTACTGATATCATTCGGAATCATAAAAATTTATATTTTGGAATTTTAATTTTGATTAATTAATTTTGACAATTTTTAAAACAGAAATTACAAAATAAAATTAAATGACTTAAATTTTTGTAACGTAATATAAATGACTAATTATCTATATCATTACGCTCTATCTACATCATCATTGAAGGGTTAATCACTTTGAAAATGTATTTCGTATCAGTATCGTTGGAACATTCAATCTCTGCTTATTTTTCTTTCTACATATTGTAATAGATTTCATAGATATTCTATATATTAAATTATTTATAATTCTACACATTACTAGATTATATTACTATAACTGGATTTTTTGAATTATTGATCAATTTGAAAACATTTTCATTGGGTGCAAGAACTGGAAAAATATCATACTTTCACTTATGAATTGAAGTTTAAATTATGATATTATATATCTAATCGTCGTATCACATTTATTTTTGCTTTCAAACGTTTCGAAATCACATGATTTCGGATACCACAAATGGAATTGAAGGAATTGACTTTTTTTTTTAATGTGCAACTATTCTAATTTGCTATATAAATAATAAATAATAATTCAAATTGTTCTTCTAAATAACAATTAATTTTATTATTTTAATTAATTTTATCAAAAAGCAAATAATTATTTCTGCGTTTTATTTTAATTCGCAAATAACAAATAGTTTTATATTTGAATACTTACTTAAATAAAATTTATTTAAACAATTGTTTAGAATTATTGTTTATTTAGAATAATTGTTTAGAAGAAAAAAGCAGAATCTTAAAATTAAGATGACGTTTATAACAATAGTTCTTCCATTAATTTGTTAATAATTCAAAACTTAAAAATATGAAAAGAATAACTGTAAAATACTACTAAAAAATATATTTTCTGAAAACTTTTTATAATACACTGTATATAAACTATTTATAATGTAATAATTTATAATGAAATTAGAATACTAATCGAATACAACTAGTAGAATTAAACCAATTTATTTCAAATCATTTCTTTTAACAATATGTTTTTTTATGTTTCATGATTTAAAATCAATTTTGTGGTACTATATATATGTACATATATCCCTAAAAAAAAAGGGATACATACTACATAGTAAAAATAGAAATAGAACTGATTTTCATAACAGAAAAAGCACATTTTCTTTAAAATCATATAAAATTTTATTTTTATTTCAATCTATTAATAAGATAAAACGAAATATGCATAAATAATTTTTAGAAGGAAGCTGAAAAATTGTTAAATTTTCGGAGTTTATACATACAAAATCTACATAAAATATATGTACATATATAATTATTAAATAACCAAATAATTAAGAATGAACTAATAAATATTAACCTAGTATTTATGATATATTACATACATATTTATATATACAGGGAGAGATATTATTGTTGTCATGATTCATTTCTTCTTGTAACAAATAATTCTATCAAATTTCTTTACTGGCGTAAAATTGGTATAAAATATTTCTATATATCAGTATCTAAACAAAGAAATGTGCATTGTTACCTTTTATAACATTAATTTCTATATTTTCTTATTTTTACATAAAAAAATTTTAAGTATGAAAAATTTTGCAAAACATAACATAAAGTCTTTACAATTTTAAATATAAAGATTTTTAAATAATAAATAGTAGTAGATTATTTTATTATGTAGAAGTATAAAAATTGTTAAATTATGATTATTTTATTATTTGGAAGTATAAAAAGCAAACGATTGTAATTAAAAATTGATATTTTCATCTATTTTAAATACGTTAGAATTAATAGCAATAAATCTATTCTTTGTTGACTATTCTTCACAAATGATACATGAAAATTTTATTGATATTATCATTTTAAACAAATGCAGTCTAATTTTATGCTTTTATTTGTTTATTGTTAAGTATTCGTCGATAACATAATTTATATATATATATAAAATATAAAAATAATGTATTCACGTTGCACATAGCTTTTTAAGAAACATCAACCTGCACGCACGCACACGCACAAGCACAAATGATTTTTATTTTTATGCACTTCGCCCTTCATATTTAATTTTTGTTATCTCTTCTCGGTAAAGTAATTGAATATGATATATGAGAATAAAAAAATAATTACGAATGAACAACAGTATTCTAGTATTCTAGTATTATTACATACAGATTTTAATTATAAAATTTAATTAATAATATAAAGGAAGAGGAATAAATATATACATATGTGTATATAATGTGTATAAATTTAAAAAGAGTTCTACCGAGAAGAAAATAAACATTTTATAGGCGCTCCACGATCATTCATCATCCTTCATCATCTTGTACGAGCGTCAAGTCATAGAAACTCGATACGCAATGAGATACGTTTCTAAAAATGTTAGATTTTCTTAAGATAACTACAGTCTTTGAAAAAATCATGTATTGTCTGAATGTTTCAAAGTTCCTGATTTTATAATCAATATAAATCATCTACTGAAGCTTACATGACGAATATTTGATTCACTTGAATCTGTGGCAAGAAGATATTTGAGAAGAATATAACCTCATCTGTCTCTCATTTTTCCGACTTAATGTTTCCCTTAGTGTCAAACTGATACAATGATAAAAAATTAATATCTATTAATGAAAAAATAAATAGTTTAATTTGCAAATTCTTTTATTAAATAGATTAAATAAATTAATTGCATACAGAGTATGTCAGATATAGATATGTATATCTCAGATATAGATGTTTATTTTATATCGTCATTTTACACGTTTCATTGAAGGATATGTTTAATTGACATAAAGGACGAGAGTTAAATTATTGAAAATTAATTTTTAATTAATTCTATTATTAATGGATTCTTTTTTTTTTTTAACGTCGCATCGACTACGAGATCTTTAGCGACGTGTTGAAATTGTATCTTTATAACTGGTCTAGTAATTTGGTCTCTTTTAGGTAGTTGATAACGTTTTTTTTTGTTGTTTCTGGCAGGTTAGAGCGGTATTTTGGTTTAATCCATATTTACTTCTTATGTTTTGGTATTTTCTACATTCATGTAGCAAGTGCTGGATGGTGATTTGTTGGTTGCAAGCATACAGGTGTTGCAGAAAGGTGGTTCTGTTTTGCTTAGGAGGTATTCGTGTGTAATCTTGAAGTGTCCGATTCGAAGTCTAGTCATAGCTATCCTTTCTTTTCTGCTTATATTGTTGTTTGGTATTTTTTGAGAAATGGTAGTGTCTTAGTATCCGTTTATATTAATGGATTCTTGTTTTCCCATAAAAACAGAAATTTTCTATTATTACAAAAAATAGATGAAAAAATTCATGGTATTTATACATATAATCATAATTTACAATAGTCATCTTCTGAAATAATATAAAGACATACCTTTTAATGACCTCGAGATACTTAGCAAATATTAATAAAAATATAAAGAACATTTTATTTAAAAAAAACAAAAATAATTTTCATATTTCACTTAATTTTTTCCAACAGAATTAGACTGTTATTATTACAAGTCATTTTGTATACATTTTTTCAAAGGGACATTTTATAAGGTTTTATACTAGAAATAGTTTAACTTATGGAAATAATAATTTACTTTGATAAAATATTATTTCGTATTATCGTTATTCAAACTGT